CCCTCCCGGCGCAAGCGTTACGTTTCGGTCTTGTTTACGAGACGACGCGAAAAGGTTTTGGACCCCCTTTAAAAACAGTAGAGTAGACACTCGTCCGCACATTTCTCTCTGGCACGTGTTTACAAACTGCTACGGCGACTCCGCCGGGAGAGAACTTTTGCTCCCGAAACGTGGGGCTTCTACGGGGCTTTCACCGCTCAACTTGCGATAGAGAGTGGACGAAGGAGGGCGATTTCGTTGCAATCCCTGCTGTAGAAAGTCGTGCAAACGCGACTTTCTTGACCCGCAGCTCGCAGAGCACGCGCAAGAAAGTGAGGCAAAAGTTTTGTCTTGAGATCACTCACCAGTAGTAGTCGGTGGGCTCTCCGCCGGCGAGGTGGAGGGTGAAGGTGACGTCATCGCCCTCGCGGACAGCAACGCTCTCCTCGTCGCGCGGCGGAGGGAGGACCTCCGGCGGGCTCGGGGAAGGAGGAGTGGCCAGGGGCGGGGGTGTCGGGGTTGCGCTCTCCTTGCTGTCCCCTGGAAAGGGCAAAAATATGGTGTCTTAGTATACCGAGGATAGAACGACGTGGGGCAGTCGCAAGCTCCCGCTGACTGACAGGTCAGTCTGCGGCCCTGCTCAACAGAACTGGACGTTGCACCCTTAGACTTATTCTAGACATTCATCAAGGCCTTACTCAATTCAACTGCGATTCATTTTTCTTTTGGCAAAATCTTTATTGAACACATTTGTATTATCTCCAGGATATGCTGATAGTATTTTCACCAGTCCGAGCGTTACCGTGGCCGTCTTGCCCTGAGCCCTGGGGGTCCTGGCCAGCCTGGTCGGCGGCCGTGTCTTCTTCGTCGCCGTCCTGGTTGACGGCCGCCGACGTGGCCGCCGAGCAGGTGGCGATGAGCATGAGGACGCGCGTCTCCATGGCGCGCAGCCGCACCAGGCACTCGGCACTCCGGGCGGCGCGCGCGGCAGCGGCACGGGCAGCGTCGGCCATCCCTGTGGCAGGTGTGGAAGGGTGCGTCTGACGGGGCATTGACTCCTGGTTACGAACTCATGTGGGTCCTCCTTGCAATCCTCTGAAACCATCGGGTGAATGGCCCTCGACCCGGTTTACAGCAACAATAATCTTTGCAAGGGGACCAAACGTACCATTCCATGTCAATACGAGGAGCTGACAAGCACCATGCCGTCTGGTGCGACCTGCAGGGGAGAAAGTGAAAGATTATCATGTGGCACAGGGCCCCTCATGAACAAGAATTAAGACCAAAAATTAAGGGACCACAACGCCTGAGTTTGTCCTGCATTACCTTACCTGTTCCTCGCGCCAGGAGAGGTGAGGCAGCGGCCGGGCTGCCGGCCCCGCTCCGCGGCGCGCGCTGCAGCAGGAGCCCTAACAAGGCCCGGCGCAGTGATCCTGCAACAAGGAGCCTGCTCAGAGCTTGCTGCGGACCCGTGGTGAGGGGGGAATTCGCCATTAATTTGATGGACATGATTTTTTAAAATGTTACAGCGGTGAATATGACATGCAGAAATCGTAACGTTTCAAAGGGGATTTTTAAAAAGTTCTCTCTAGGGGAAGTAATTGACGGTTTTGTGACGGTTAACAATGGTTGGGGGCCGAGGGTGGTCAGGGGACGAGGTTGGTCGGGGGATGAGGGTGGTCGGGGGTGGGTGAGTGTTACAGGAGTGGTTAATCCGTCCCGGCGGGTCGGCTGAAATCTCTATTCTTTCTTTTCAGGCGACGTCGCCAGAAGTGACGCTCGACGACCTGCCCACTCAGCACGGCGCCACGGCTCGTCGCAGAGCGGCTCTGCCTGCTGCGTCACATGGCAGGACCGAGCCGGGCCGCCTCTTCTGCGTCACTTGTCGGCGCTGCGCGCTCTGCGAGCGCTCCGCCCGCCCAGCACAGGTGAGTGGTGGGCTGCCTACTGAACGGGCGGCCGTGGGGCGGGCGCCCAAGCCCGACTGCACTGGGAGTCTTGGGGCGCGGGCGGATGGCGTGCACCTGCCAGGTGGCTGGTTCACGGCGTTTGTACGACCTGATGTTTCTGGAACGACCTTCGTATGTCTGACCTGCATTTATGCGACCTTTACTTTCTCCACGACTTGCTCGAGGCCAAAAGCTGAAACTGACTTAATCTGGTAACCTGGCCCCAAAACTCGATTATCTGCTCAAACGGATGCACGTGCCGGTCGCATTGTCCATCGCTTTGTCCTCAGAGCCTAATCTGAAATCTGTTTGGTGTCTCGGACTCTCGTGGTCAAAGGAGCTTACATTCGTTGGTCTGTTTGACGGTCGTGCACCCGACAGCACACCAAGTAAAACTAACTACCTTGGTAAATGCCTCTTGACGACTTCAATAATGTAACATGAGATACCATCTAGACCTTCACTCATTCGGGGTGTCGTAGTGGAAAACTGATGTCCGACAAAATGCAAGTTGTGGAAAAGAAGCTACATCATGTCCCACGGCTTTACATTTTGCCATAGCATTGTACATTGATTTGTGCACAAAAAGATTTCATTCACTCACCAAAACACTAGTTAAAAGGCGTACAGGAAAATTTTGCTTGACGCAAGTTGCGGAATTACAATTTGTAATAGCAAAAGAAAACATGCAGTACCTATCGACTTCTTAGAGTCATACGCGAGTAAAAAATGTGCTCTGGTAAATTTACAACTTACTTTGTAATTCAAGTTGACACAAATTTTGTAAACTTAGGCCGGTATTTTTTACAATGAAACTTAAAGAACACTCATTTTTTTCCCACCGTTTTAAGAAGACATTACCACTGAACCAACGGGAACCGAAGGAACTCCGGCATTGATTTTGTTATGCGTTGAATATAGGGGTGGGGTTAGGCAAAAGTTAAGCTGGGTCGACGTTGGTGCTGAACGAGGATTAGTAGGTCCGATGTGATATAATCGGGGATACTCGAGCATGGTTTCAATCATGACGCACAGAGACACTAGAGTCGACGAGGGAAAGCAAAGGCAAAGACGAAATACAAGCAGCGCAAAGGATTGCGTAATTCACTCACCCCCTGAGACAGAGGCGCGCAACAACAAGCCGCAGCGAAAGTCTTCTGGTCTTGGAGCGATATTGCGAAGGCTGAGCAGCGTCGACCAATAATAACGTGAAGCCCCTCATCCGTCACTCGCGGACATTCTTCTCTAGGCTGCGATTAATGTCTCCATTTGCGCACAATGCTGGCATTAGCGTCATCCATGCTAGTCACAAGCTCTACGAGAAGCACAGCTGCAGCAGCAGTGGCGGCGGCGGCGGCGGCACGGGTCTAAGCGTGCGAGCTGTGCTGTTTTGTGCATTCCGCCCCTTCATGAGTCCGAGACGGAAACGTAGCCGCAGATCGGAAGAAGATATTTTAATGACAAATCTCATGCTTGTGGCAGAGCCATAGGTGTACGCAGTCTCAGTGTGTAGCATAGTCTCTGTGTGAAGGCTACCGTACGGAGAACAATCAATCATCATTAATTGATCCTTTCGGTGCTCGATGTTGCAGTGTTTTTTCACGATGCGCGCAGACTGGTCGCCTCTGACATACCATTGGTTTCGGTTGGATGAGACCCATTTTTCCAATGTAGTTGGGTGCCTGGTCCGCGGGCCCCGCCCGCTCAGCCAAGCGCCGCCGCCGGCAACCTTTCCTCGCGAACCCAAAATAGATCTAGGCGGCACGCCACTGAAAATGTTGTTCGCGCCCGGCTATTCCTGCTGGCCGCTCATGGGGCCCGCCACAAGCGTCGCACCGTGGCAAAAAATAAAAAACAGGAGAAGGAGAAGCCAAAACAAAATTCCGGGGTATGTTATTATTTGTCTTTCTTACGATTCGTCAAGATGGTCAAGCCGTCACGACGAGTGTCTAGCTGTCGCGCCCATCTCAGGACCGCGGCCGGCTGCCCTAGCGATTATACTCGGCGGTGAACTAATGACCTATTAATAATGCGCCTCAGGCCAGGTGACGGAGTCTTCACACACCGGCAGCGTACGCCTCCTAGCGCCACCTAGCGGTCGGCTCCACCGGCTGCTCATGGGGCCGAATAGGCTCCCGTCGTTTTCCACTGCGTGGGGTAGCGCCATCGCTCGTCCCCCGCGCCCAGAGACTTCCCTCCGAGAGGAGTACTACCAAGTACTGCCCTTTTGCACCTATTCACCACCCCTCCAGAGTGAGGGGGGGGGG